AAGGTTAGAATCACTCCTGATTTAAACACAAGATTTGGGTAGTTCACATAGTCAAAAAAAAGACATGCAAATAAATAGCTATAATTTAATCAATCTTGATTTAAATTAAGTTTTTATCCAAAAAAAGGTTGATTTGATTGCATTTAACAGACTAGATTTTCTAGAAAAAAACTAAATTTCAAATTCAAAATACTAAATATCAAATTCAAAATACTAAATATCAAATTCAAAATACTAAATATCAAATTCAAAATTTTAAATCTTTGTCCTGTAGCAAACCAAAAATAACCCCCAGATTTTGAAAATAACAATGAAGAGAGAAGAAAGAGCAGTCGACATCTGTTTTATGCAAATGAGTTTGCAGATGATAAGAAAATGAGAGAAGATGATTGGTTGTTATGAACATACCTGGAGACTAGAAAGTCTACCATCTGTCAAAGTCCTGGCTTTATTTTAAACAAAAGACTTGGTGAAAGCAACAGATGTATTGTTAAATTATCATCAAACTAATAAATAACATACATATCTTTAAATGTTAAAATAATTCTATAATAAACCATGGCCTACCTTACTTTCTTTGATCTATTTATCAATTAAACTGGCTATTTAATTCTCTTTTATCTAATGACTAAATTCATGTTATAAGTCTGGTTCTTTTGTTCATAAAAGATGTAGGTGAATTGTTTGAAAGATGAAACAAGAAATCTATCTCTGATTATCAATGAATTGACAGTCCTTAAACATAACAAATTAGAAGGAGAATATATATATTTTGTATTAATAGATCTATGCCAATCTTTAAACAATTCCAGTATCAGTATCAGCACTTATCTTTTCAGAAAGTCTAAACTTCATCTGAATAATTTTTATAATTTTTATATCATAAGAAAATATTTTAACCTACAAAGGATTATGTATTGTTACTGATATATTTTCTCTAGTTAGCTATAAGCCTGTAGCTTCATATTATTAAAGATTGTCTTTTTCTATTTTTCAGTATCCAAAACATATGGTATTTGTGATGCATCGATATTAACAGATCAAAGTGGTTATATATCTACACCTCGCTATCCTAATAACTTTCATAATAATTTATCTTGTTCCATACAAATACAAGCACAACCTGGTCAAAAAATACTACTGACTATCATTGATATGGAGTTACAACCACGAGGCAAGAAAGACTGTTCTGATTTTATGTATTTTAATGATGGATTTCACAGTACAACATTATGTGGACGACGTTCAGAATATACATTTAGATCTCATGGTAACCATTTTCAAATTGAATTAAAAGCAGAAACAGGAAACAGTAAAGGATTTTGGTTATATTATGAAGGTAAGAGATGTTTGCCATCTTGATTTCATTATCTCACAATATCTCTCTTTATATTCTTTTCTTTCAAATCTTCAAACAGAAATCTACTTCCTAGCAACAAATATGTTTTGAATTCAAAGTCCATATTATGTTAAGGAACATCTACAAATTGAAAACATTACAACATTAATTGGCAAATAAATCAAACATTAAAATTGAGACATTTCCTATTAAATCTCATACAAATACTTTTATCCTTCTTTCAGCTGTACCTAAAATGCCCAAATTGGAGCCCATAACAGATTCAACCAATGAAATGACCTGGATGTTGCCGATTTCTAATCCAAATAACAATGTCAACGATAACAAAAATATCAACAACAAGGAATATCAACATGAGGATACAGGAGTATCAACGACATCAATGTTATCTAGTACATTAACAACTAGAAACGTTGAGACTACACCAATACCTATATACCATGACTATATACCTAGTAGTGGTATAAGTAAGACACTACCTTTCGGTAAGTTTCCATTTCATATCAAGATAATCCAGCTAGCAATGGTACAATTGTAACTAGGTTGATTAAGCATTCAAGTTAGCCTGCTTTATTCCTTAAAATTATAATTGTATCTAATCTGAAATTTCTTGAAATGAGCCCTTGGTATTCAACTCTAGGCAAATTTCAAAATGACATTTTGACCCAAAAGACATGGAGCTCTAGTGACCAATAGCTACAATATTCAACAAATTGCTACTGAATTAATCTGGAGGAAAGAATGCCATTCAGTGATAATAAAAAGATAGCATGAAGAAAGATTATAATTGATTATAGAATGACAATAAAAGACATGTGGAATAACTAATGTGTTAAGAAAAGGCCTGTGTTTATTAAGTTTCTATGGTGTGTGAGGTTTTTCTATCTTCATGTCTTACTAAATAATTCATCAATCTCTTCAAGACTACATTCACACCCTTCTCATTAATAAGTTAAGATTATTCTAAGAAAAGCCTGAAATTGCATGTGGCATGAAAAAACCTAAAGAATTAGGAATAAAATTGACCAAACTAAAAAAAAGTTTCCAACCATATTCTTTTATAATTGATAAAAGAAGCAAGGAAGAATTAAAGCTTTAATTTCTATAGAAAATTGACTGAAAAAAAATGACTATTTTCCGAAAAATTGAATTGAAGAAATAATGCACAGATATTTTCAATAAATTTTCAGCTGCTATAGCAGGTGGTGTTATTGGTACTTTAACTTTGGTATTATTGGTTTTACTAACATTACTAGTAATCAAATGGTAAGTTTTTCACTCTTTACTATTAAAAGTATGTTATGTAGCCTAGTTCAGCAGTATTGATTTGACATTTGTTTTCTTATCTACATTGTAACATACAATAAACAAACATCAGAATAACTTTTTCACCTACTTTGATATTGGCTTTAATTAAGTACATCTTTCAAAACACCAAAATGGCAATTTATGTAAGATTAAAAATATTCATTTATTTGAGGACTATGTTAGCCAAAAAAGACAAGTTTTACAAGTTTCAAAAATATCATGGTCAGAATAATTAAGGACAGCAGCATGAACTCATTGAAAAGCAGATGTATATAATTTTGGTAGGCAATTTGTCCTTGTAATATTTATTCAAAACATTAGATGACATGAACGTTTCACTACATTGCAGGTTGAAAGAAAAAAGATATTTCCAGAATAAAGAGAGATTTTTAGAAATCCGGAATCCTGCATTCCGTAGTAGTGGTGATTTTAATCAGTGTAATAATGAGTATAATCCATACACTAATAATGACTATTGCTATGTAGAATGTGCCTGAGGAAAGCTTCAGTTCTTGTGATATTAGACACATGAATGCTATGTAGTTGTACAACCGTCCACCTAGACTGACATAACTGTGAATATCTACCATGTAAAAGTGCCATATTTGATGAGTCACAAGTGTATATAGCTATAACTAGTCATTGTAAATATTTTCATTGATTATTTATTAATATTGTCACAATTAATCATAAAATTAAAACAGATATGGTCATAGAGAATAATCTTACTTTCTATGTCTGATCATATAAAACTCTTTAACCTTTAGTTAGTATTCAAAATATTTTTGCTATATGCTTCAAGAATATGTGTCTTTGCAACTTTGGATATGACACACAAAAAATACAATAAAAATTTGCTTTTCAACTGTGTATTCTCTTAGAGGATTAGCAATTCCAATCTAAATTCATGTTCTGATATAGAAATAAACATTATATTCAGTGATCAATCGTTCATTATCATATCATTATTTCATAATTATGTTAAGGTCCATATGGAATTAGTGTTTTTGTATATTGTACATGAAATTTGCTTAATTATTTAAGACAAATTATTCATGGTACATTTTGTTACATTTTGATAGGGCAAATTTTGTTACAATATTTCATAAAATATGAGTGCAATATATAATATCATATCTAGTCATTGTCGTAATCCTTACCTAGTTAAGGATTAAGCTAGGAAGTAACCAAACAGGCAGCTTAGGAGTAGAAAAACATCTTGGTGAAAAAGAAAAACGCTCATGGGATTTATTAGCCAGACTTAATACTGTGATATTTTTTTTAATCATTCATTCCTTGTTATATTATTGTGTATTTATTTGTTTATAGTTTTTTTTAAAGTATTATAAACATAGATAAGCTTTGTAGAAGAATTATTACATGCCTAGAAACATATGGTTCAAATTTCCCTCACTTCATAAAGAAATTCTTCTAAATATATATAATAATTCATTATAGAACTACAAAATGCATCGTGTAGAGGAGTAGATTACATCTATAATTTTAAGAAAATAAAAGTCTACTAACTTTCAAATTTGCTGCACTTCATAGTCAGAAATTTCATTGCAATTGTTTCAAGTATAAATTTAGTCTAATATTTCTAGGCATTTGATGATATGCATTTACTAATATATTACTCATTATTACTTACATATTGTATATATACTGCTTACTATTTATTGTATTATTCCACCAACACGGACATAGAAATCCAATTGTCAATTTATAATCTCTCTCAATATATTTATCATTACTTATTATCATAATGTATTTAAATTCTATTGTTGTATCAGACATTGTAAACTTTAAATGTTTCACATTCAATTTTTGATGATCATATACTTATCATTCATTTGCTATGTTATTCATATAAATATACATGAACATCCAGGGCTCTGTTTCTCAAAAAAATTTGTAATGAGGTAGATTAAAATCAAACTACCATTTTATCAGGAACTTTTTTGCTCGGGCTTAATGTTAGACAGGACCATGTCACTTTGGTGTAATGGATCTAATTCTGTATCGAGTAAAATAAAAAGTCATTCTTATTTATCCCACAAGACTAAGTAAAAATATTATAGACTGATTCAAATTATGAAATTGATGATGTCAATGATTAATTATTGTTGCTAATTAAAATGTGTAGAATATTGTGTATAAATGTAATGTATTTATTAAAGTCTTACTAATACATATTAGTATTAACACATAATTATCAGCTGAAATAAAATAATAAATAATAAATACCCACTGTGTTTATTTATACAGGTCTATAGACTGACAATAAAAACTCTAGTCTGATGCCAAAAACAAAAAACTAAAATCCACTCACCTTGGATTCATGACGAGTCTTCTAAAGAAATAGGTCCATGTTATATAGTCCATAGCATCCTGTTTAGAGGCTATAGTACCAGCTACTATTTCAGCATTTAAATGGTCTGGCAACACTTCTAGTAAACTACAGAATAAAAGACACAAGAAGAAAAAATAAAACTATCTGTGCAAAAAGGGATGAGTAAAACCCATAAAATATTTATAACTCACCAGGGTAGGGGTTCTCTGGGCAAAAGGAAAAGGAATCTTAGAGTGCAGAGAATTGGAAGAGCCAAAATGAAGAGACTTTTCATACAATACATGAAGACAGGGCTTAAATTTATAAAACAGAAGAACTATGCCTATCCTATAATGCCTGTTAGATTACTACTTACTTAGACTCTACAGGGAATGGTTCATACAGAAATCGTTTATAGAAATGTTTTTTAACATCATGAACTAATATAACAGCTTTACCACTATCATCAAACTGTGGTCTTCCAGCTCTACCCATCATTTGTAATACATCTATACATACAAAGTCATATAAAATACACAATAAAGAAGAAAGAAGGGTTTTAATAAGCAATACACAGGTCCATATTAGTATATATTAACATACCAATACCTGCAATCATCTAGATAGTTGACAACCAATTCAGTACAACATCAATAATTTTTTAATTTTTCTTAATTTTCTTGAGTTTTTTTTAAATTAGTATACATTAACCCTCAAATATCAATCTAAAGTCATTCTGAAACTTGACAAGATTGACAACTTCAATCAGATGAACAGTCCCACAAGAGCAATTATTTTTTGATAAAAGAAAATTTGTACATAAAGTCCACATATAAAAATATATTGCAACAAGATGCAATTCTTAAGTGAAGAAAGTAGGAACATTTTTCTGATCTGACCTGCTGTACATCTATGTCAACTTTTTTGTTTTTAAGAAAAAACCATTAGCTTCAATGAATTAAAAATATGAAAAATAAATCTGATTCCTAGATAAATAAATCATTAGCCAGAAAGTATGTATATAATTAGAGAAGAATTACTAGATATATAGTTATACTGAGTTTTACCTGTGATAGGAAAATCAACATATCTTCTAGTTTTACCATCAAAATACTCAGTTCCCTTAATAACTACAAGATGAGCTGGGAAATTGACACCCCAAGCTAATGTACTGGTAGCAATTAACAACTACAATCAAAATAAAATAACATTTCTTGATGACATTTAAAGAGAATTTCTAATTTACTTTGTTATGAATTCTATAATGAAATATCTTTTTTTATTAAACTTGTCCATGAAGTAGACTTAATAGACTATTAGACTTCATAATATTTTGACAAGAACATTGGGAATTGGTAAATTCCAATGAACAAAATATTCTTAGAGAAGTTGGGATATGGGAGAGAGGGGACATTTCTATTCTTTGAAGTGCCCATACATGCATATGCAAATTATTAAGTTTAATGTAGCTTTTTTAGTTTCTGTTTATTTAACTGTGTCTGAAATCATATGCACTGTAAGATTTACTTCCCATTAATAACTTATTTCTGACAAATCATTATCTTAAATAATAAATAATAATAATGATAATCTATTTATATTGCGCTGATCATTCCAACAATGAAGTTGCTCTGTAGCGCACATAATGTTAACAGCACAAGACACAAACAGGTATAAAAACAGTGGTATATTCCCAGGCTGTAAAATGACGAAGTGCATTCTTTTCTGGAGAATTCCTCAAGCTCTGTTCATTTAAATACCTGTATTTTGGAGTTAACAAATAATTCTTCAGTAGTTTTCCTGTCTCTTTCTACTAAACCAGCGTGATGTATACCAATACCAAATGCTAGTGTTAATTTTAGATTGGTATCTTTAATTCCACATATAATATTCTCCATCTAAATGAAGTAGAACACATTTTCTTACAGTGCTATGGACAAGACAAAGCTATGGACACAAATCCTATTGGCTAGACCCCGCAGACAGCCACAAATGAAATTGTGACAAACTCCAGTAGATTGTGACTGACTTTTGCAACTTGATGAGAAATTGCAATTTCAACTAGTTGAAAAATATGTGACTGATTTTTTCAACTGTTATGCTAATAAATCAATGTGCTATTCAGTTTTTAACTATATAAGTTTATGTATATTACATATATTATGCAGAATTTAATCTATGATGCGAAATGGCACTAAAAGTCTAATACTACATATCCCATGCTTGATAAAAGCTTAATTGTTGATTCAAAATCAGTAAAGGGCACCTTAGAAAATTCCATGTTTTTCACCAAAAGGTCACATTTCTTTTTTCTGACCAAAGGCAGTCTAAAACCAGTGTAATTCCAGAATACTTGAGTGAGTTTTCTGCATTTGACAGTTTTTTGAAAACTTAGCATTTTAACAGATGCAAACGAATTGCCATATTTTCAAAGCTTTATCTATTTACTTTATCGATTTAAGCAAAGAGAGAACTCATATTTCATATAATTATAGTAACTTCAAAGTCAACCTTGTTTTAGATTAGTTTTTTTAACGCTCTATAGTTATTGGTAAAAGTTTGATAGCCAGACGCGACGAATATCAGGTTATTTGAAGTCAGAAAGCTCTACTTTATGGATAAAAGGCGATTCATTTGTCAATACTGCTACTGGCAGATAAATAGGGTAGGAAGAAGAAAAAAAAACTTCTGAACTTTTCTTCTCCTTTTTTTATTATGATGTACACAACTATACTATATTAGATATATAACAATCAATAAAATCTGTTTCATATACATAGATATGTATCAATAAACAAGAAAATGCTGTAGTATGATTTCCATTAAATTGTAATTACACACTATTAATACTTTAATATTTTAGGTCAAGCACTTCAAACAATAACAAAAATAAGGCACTGAATACATCATTGGAGAATTATCATACTGTAATATTTGCATGTACAATTCAAAACAATTATACCATGGGCAGTTTACACATTATAGACTATGACAAAATATGTACTGAAATCATTTAAAGGTCATAGTTCACCATTTACCATTCATATGCAAAAAGTCTTCCGAAGTACTGATAGTCACGCAACTTGACACATACATTACGTTACACATAAGAATTTGCAGCTCAAATTTCAAAACTGTGAACACTATTTCTGATTTGCTTAGCTAAAAAATTCCCTTAGTTTAAGTTACGATTGGTCAGACAGATGTCCCTTTATTTAAATGAATAAGTTTGGCTTGATATTTTATTCAATTGAGGAAATATTTTTTCAATCAAAGACATAAATTTTGTGTGAAAATTTTTAGAATTAATTAAGGAAACACCTGAAATGTAGACATATCATAACAATATGACATGCACCTACTAGAAATAGGGCAATTAGAAAAATATAATATGCTTTCTTTCTTTGTATTTTTCCTTGCCAATGATTCAAATTACTAGAATACTGTCATTTTGTGGAATGTTTAGGAGATAATAGTAACATTTGATGGACGAAATTGAACCTCAATGATGGAATGCTACTTAGTGAACAGTAATAATATAAAATGCTTGTCTGAAAATGGGCAAGCACAAGCATGTGAGTTAATTACAATAAGGCATATAGATAACAAATAAGGCTTTGATCACTTCATAAACTCAAAATGTGAGATGTAAAATATATAACAATCTGACGATAAGAAAGCCTTACCAAATGTTTAAGCCATATAATTCCATTTTTTATTGGCAGGTGTAATTCTTCTACAGAATGTATAGATATGTTTGGAATGTACAAATATATAAATAAAAAATATCACATTAGGTTGGTTCATGACTAGATTTTAATAGTGCAATATCCTCTTCAATTTTCTCCATTTCTTGTGTCAGATGTTGAATGATTCTATCCTTAGTTTTTATAGCAGAAGTTAAATTAGTGATGAGTTGTATATTTTGTTCAATAGTTTGAGATAACTTGATCTGTTCTTCCATGATATCATTCACAATGTCATCTGTAGTTCTAGACACAATGTCTCCATATCTATTTATAGTAAATGTCACTTTTTTCTCTCCAAAATGCATCGCAATAAACATAATGTCTAATACACAAATTAACAATAAGATATGCCAGGATCCATACATCTGTAAATATCCCAATAGTTCAGGCATTTTGGACAGGTTTCCACTGATTATCTGATGACAATATGAAATTTGATGATGTTTCTATTGGTGTTCTCGGTTGGCCATTATATATAATGAATTGATGTTTATAACACCATATCTATCTCTCCAGTTGACAGTTAGTCTGTACTGTAACCTAGGAAAAATAGAATAGTGTTAAATAGCTCTAGAATAGTACATGTGTGATGGTATAAGTCAATTCTGTGAGAATATAATATATGTTCTGTATTCATAACATAAACACCTGTTACCTTCTACTTATAAAATATCAATTAATATACAAAAACATATGTCTACAGCACATGTAAACTTTAAACAGATTCAAAGATGCTAGGCTGTAAACTTAAAGACGAATGCATTTTGATGACAGTGTTCTAGATTTAGTAGATGCCTATCCAATCTAGAGAATTCAGAATTTGAGGTTATTTGCTATCTATTATTTGACATATTTATCTTTTTGTCTTATTTAGAAACCTGTTACAATTAATTATATTTTCACACTTATAACCAGAGAACTTATTAAAACATTTTCATATTCAACCTATGAATTCTTCTAGTAAAATGATAATCTGTTGCATTTTTATATATATTAATACTAATTAGATATGAAAATGATATGCTAATGAGCAAGATATACATATATTAATATAATTGCTTTGTTATCAGAATGTCACAATTCATAAAAATATGGAATGATTATAAAAAGTGGTTGGGCTAAAGGTTAAAGAGATTGTAAGGGGAACAGGTTTTCTAAACTTTTTATGATTATCGCTGACACTAATACCATCAATGTGTATCATTTCAATTTTCTGTGGCTCTTGCAATTCAACTAAAAGTAAGCATTTTATGACATCACTATCGCAAAAGCTGCTATTGATATAAAAGGATATTGATGTAATTAAATTAAAGTTAGTTCGTAAAAAGTTTTCATTATCAAATACGTCATAAATTATACTTGAAAATATATCTAAAATATGCTATTTATATCTATGTATCTTCTTGATCAATTTGTTTTACAAGGATTAAAAACAGAGCTTACTGTTAATTAAGCAAGTTGACCTAGTTTTGTTGTTTTGCTTATTAATGGCTGATATTATTAATTGAAACCTTTAGAATACGTAGGAGATATATTTCTCTACAATTAATCGTTTATTTCACTTAAATCTGTAGAGTAGTTTTCTAACAGCATCCAAAAAGGATAACAAACTTTACATAATCTTACGCACGGTTTTTAAATAATTTTGGCGTGAAAAATGATTTTTGGTTAAAACTTTCAGTTACGTTAAAGGACACGTTCCTCTAAAAATTTTAGACCTATAAAAAAAGCAGAATGATGTCCCTTTAATACTTTAATTGGAGGTACCACAGATGTCTGATGGAAAATTGGAATGGTGCAAATTGATACTATCATTGTCCACTATATACATAAAATTTTCACAAAACCTCTTTCTTGTCCCTTTAGACTCACACATGGTAACATTCCTTTTGAAAATATAGTTTGCCAAGCAAGGTAATATAAGCCCACTGGCAGCCTTGTTTTGAATAAAAATATACAAAACTAATCAAATAATTTGTAAAAATTGAACAACAAAACACATTGGGATACCAAGTTCAGTTCAAAAACCAATCAAAACTGTTAACTCTATCTAGTACACAAGCAAATATTTTTGGTCAAGAACAATAAAATGAACTCAAAAACAGCTATTTTTCATACATTTAAAAGGCATTTCATTTCCATGTAGGTAGCAAAACTGAAATATATTACAAGCTTTATACTCAAAGTTCAAAGTTTTGTGGCATCATCCAATATTTAACAACATGCAATTGACTAATTACAGTTTTACAGCATCAACAATTCTAAGTTAACAAGAGATATCTATAATTCCTATGACAAATTTCATTTTTCACTTTTAAACAGTTCATAAATATAATGCCTACAAGCTGTTAAAACTATAATCAAAATTAACTTAAAATATCAAATCAATATGTGTCCATCAAGACAGAATGTGATATTTTGATGAAACATATAAACAATTATTATTCCAGATGTTACAAAGTCATGAAAACAGAACAGTTTTTACTCATCTTATATAATGTTTCATAGTTCAATAAAATCTATTCTCAAACTTTCTCAAACATCTATTTGATTTTTTTAACAATCTAATATTTATATATCTATATTCTATCAATAAATTAGTCCTAATTTTACTTTTTACCATGTGTTTATAACTAACAAGCAAATAATAATATAATAGTATGTTTACTTACTTTTTGTCAATAAAATTTGTAAAGCAGTACAAATTACATGTACCTATATACTCCATGAACTCTGAATAAAGTGGTAAATAAGTGTATACTATTGTCTTAACACACTAGCTATAAACTGTCATCACATCATACTGTCACTTGTAATGATTGATTTATAGTTACATGTCAAAAAACAACTTATTTATTGTATTCACAATACAATAGTCTGCAATAGCCTACTTCAAACAGAAGTCACCCATATCTGCTGTTTCCTTCAACTAGTTGTGCTTCAGAATAATTAAAAAATACTTCATCAACATTTTAAAGAAAAATTAAAATCTTGAACATTCTTGAACTTATTAAAGGAAAAGTCTTCTGAAAATAACTTACACAAGGCAATGATAAAATTCAGCATTTCTCAAATTTTTTGACAAAGAAATATAATCAGTTACTTATATAAATATCTTATAGGTAAACAAGGCACATGAAAATATTAAAAATATAGATTTATTATTACTACTGTTTATAATAACCTAAAATAATATTAATATAAATGACCTATTATAACTACAAATTAAGATCATAATGTATAACATCAAGCTATTACTACCAGGAGGGAGTGCATTTACCTTTAATTATAATCTTTATATCATGAATATATCATCCAAATCTATAAATCTCTAGTCCATTTAGGCTTAGTTTTTTATTTATACACCATAGAATTTTTCTTTGTTTTATCCTGATTAATATTGTGCTATCATTAATGCTGATTTCTAAAAAGCACTTTCAGGAACTTTGACATAATTTTGCATAATAAAGGATATTTGCACCATTCTAGTGGACTACAAAATTAATTTCTACAGCATTGATATAGAAAATATTGATTTACTGCATATTGCAAGAAGTTAATGACATCATTTTAAAAGTTGATATAAACTTGCATCTTATTTGTTATTTGAATAAAACAAGGTTATGTAGTATTTTGTAGATGTCATAAAGGTGTTTTTGTTGTTTAAGATGACAAGAATAATAAATCTAAGTTTGTAATAACTAGCCAGAGGCTATATAGCCTATTGTAATATATCTTAATCTAATTTATACTGTCTAAATAATTTCACATAACTTGGTTCGAATAACTTTGATACCTCAATACAGGTATTCCAATTTAATCCTTGAGGAGTGACAAGTGAACTCTTCAAAGTTTGCACTCATAACACATTACATTCAAATCAATCAATTACAATAAAAAATTGAAATCCAGCAATAATCTAAGCATTACTCTTGAAATTTTAACTCAAACAAAATCAGATTTTAAGATATACTCTAATATGACTGGTTCATAAAACTATTCTGCAAATCAATTTAACTGATCAATCAATCAAATAAGGAGAATTCTTAAATCATTTATGTATATGATAATGACCTCAGACTCGTTTTTACAGAGTTTAGCAAAGCCTTTCTTTTTTTAGGGTTTTCTAAACCTATATACTGATTTCCAATTAAATAATTGGTAAATATGTTGATGGATCAATAGATATTATCTCCCATGTGCTGTGTTTAAACATTCAAGGAATTTTCATAAATATTACATTAAAAAATTCTATATGTTATAGTATTGAACACTACAAATTCCCTGAAAAAAAATTACTCTCTAAAAATAGCTTTCAATTCTTAAAATCACTTTTAAAAATAATAATTTCTGTACGTTGTATCTTATAAAATATAACAAGACAGTCATTCTTAAAACCATCCATTAAAACATGTCTATCAAATGAAAGACTTGTACCTCAGAATGAATCCCTTATCATATAAACATCAAAAACTTAAAATGTATTCTATACTTTCACTCAACAAAGTCACAAAGTTCAGAATTCAAACTTACTTTTGAAATTTTGATATAGCATTAACTTAAAGAAATATTTTTCAACTTATTTCAGAACATAACCACCCAGATTAAAGCCTGGTTACAACCCGGTGCCAGTTTCTTCACATCTTTTAAATCCATGATCAAACTCAATACAAATCATATTGGAATCCCAAATGACTGGCAATTTTTCTTCAATTCAAAACAAAATAAGCTTAAATTTGGTTGAAATTATCCCTCAGATTATATCATTATTATTGGTATAAATTACTTACCTTTGGACTTTCTATCTTTGTCTTTGCATCTGCAGGTCCAATTTGCTTCAATCTTTACCATTGTTGTCACTCATTGTTCAGCATCATATTATAAGCTCACAGCAGACAGATTAACTAACTTTCAAAAGGACTACACAGTTGACCAATAAAATTGGTTTTATATTGTAAACCTATATTTTACATATTTTGCATGAATATAATCTTTTGCTACATATGTCTTTGATTTTATGTGTGAAGCATGTTTAATGCAGTGTCAATGTTTATCGTTGCATCAGGGGTTGAAGAATGATTGTCTTTAACAATTGATATTTTTATCTCTTCATCTTACAAAACCATTTCCTTTATTTCAATTTAAAATTTGTAATTTTTAATATGTATATGATGTGTGATATTGTAAACTTGTAAATTTAATATTTCTTTTTACAGATAAGATTAGAGAGATGTTTGTATCAGAGTATTATTTCCCTTCAGATATTTGAGTATAAATACAGAGGCACTGGTCATGGCTTCAGAATTTTTCTTACCCAGAGGAGGAAATTGATCCTGAAATAGCTTTTCCAATCATTTGTATAAGGGTAGTTAACACAGATGTCTCGTTTCAGAGCTGTGGGTAGCTAGATATCTAAAATGTGGGTTCCAGAATGTATCATGTGGAGCATAATGTATCAAATAAACAATCCTACCTCTATCTCAGGCATGTGAAGCCATTGTTTAGGGTTTTCATCTGCTGCTAAGAAAGCTATTAGATCTAATGCTGTTAGTCTAGTTTGTCTTCTAGATGATACAAAGACTAAAACAGGTTTATTTGGTGAATAGGTTTTAACAGCTACAAATAGAAGATGTAAATATTGAGATTAACAAAGCCATCCCAAATATGAATTTAAGTCTTAAAATATTCAAGGCCTCATTCTAAACAGTCTAATCAAAATTAGCCCAAAAACTTTCCATCTATATTTGTATAAGCTTTTATCTTAACTCAACCACTCAAGTTAAGATCTAACAACTTCTCAATATATAACAACTAACCAATCAAATTTTTTCCCTCTCCAGTGCTGGGATTATGTGATGCCAACAAAAGGAGGCTTCTAAGGAGCATCAGACCTTTTGTTTGTTACAAAATCCCAGCGCTGAGGGGAGAAGGAATTTGAATGAAAGTTATATCGTAAAGTACTTATTTGAAAGTTTCAAGTTCTGTGTTTATAAGAAAATTTAAATAACACATACATAACACTAGTGTTGAAACGGTTAATCAGTTAAGTGATTTCGGGAACGATTGCACAGGTAACCAGGTCTGATTTTAGGTGATTGGTTAACCTTCAATTTTATTAGAAGTTGAATGAATGCATTTTGGACAAAAAAATTTGTCACTTTGTAAATAAACATCTAAACTTGTGTTGTTTTTGTTAATTTAGAGGTTTATTGTGAAGGTGTATGATGTATGGTGTATCAAGAATTCATTTGCTTTTTGTGGTCAAGATTATCGAGCCTAAAACTGACGATTCACAAGAAACTGTTCCAAACTAGGTACTCAAACTTCAAAATTTTTAACAGGTGCTACATGTTACTATATATAGCTCAGTGACCCAGATAAGATTCTTCTTTATGTTTTAAAATGTTGATTATTGTTGCAAATTTAAACAATCTTTTTTTCTCTTTCAGTAGATTAAAACTTTGCTGGACGATCAGACAGAGCATTATGATCAGATATTGTAACAATTATAGCTTGATAATTGTGATAAAGACAAAACAAAGTTGCATATTTCGTGTAATAAATGACACGAGTACCTCTAATAATGACCCAAGCCACCTGATCTTAAAGCAATGACCTTGAAGTGAGGACATTGGCAGTGATTAATCAGCAGAATTGATTTTTGATGTGTTTTTATGTTGGATTAGCAATAATACAAATGATTATCTTATTGATGAAATGTAATTAAGATGACTAGATGTCGGATTGCAGGGCCTACAGATTTTCTGAATGCTGGGACCATTGATTAGTGTCGTAATAGACCTACACAGAATGTCCGAGTACTCAGGCCACGTATTCTCGAAACGATCTTAGCGCTAGGATGTCCTAGGTTCTTACCTTCTAACATTGATTCTAGGACTACCTAGCCCTAAGATCGTTTCGAGAATACGTGGCCCGAAGTTTATTTTAACGCACATAAGAAATCCTACACTGAACTGTAGTTTAGTTTACGCTGCGTTACCTCTACAAATGCAGTTTTTGATCTTTTTTATCTTGCGTAAGTATCCGGGATTAACCGGGTAACAAAAGGTTATTACTGAAAATTACCCGGTTCGTCAAAATCACTACATAACACCTTACTCATCGAGTCTAAGATATCTAACAAACAAGCCATGTGCATCAAATAATCAACTATATTTATAAACAAACTGAAATTTTACCTTGGAATGTAGGTTTATTCATGGTAGCCATTCTAGGACAATAATGTTGACCAGGAAAACCAGCTATATGTACTTCTAATGGTACAGGTCGTACTGAAGGTCGGAAATTAAATAATCCCATCTGAAAAAAAGTTTCCATTACTTTTTCAGCCTTGTCATAATATATAATCTAGAAACATATATGACATATATTCATTTGTGATAGAAGTTTTGAGAGAATACTGATAAATGAATGTTTTTACCTGTTTAATACCCAACCAATCAGCTAAATCTCTAGCATTAGCTAATGCTGTAGAAAGACCAACAACACGAACAGGTTTTTCAGTATGAGAAGATATAAAATTAGTTCTAGACACAATAACTTCTAAAACAGGACCTCTATCATCACCTACATGTAGAAGGAATACAAAGATAAAATTTAAAAACACTATATTTACAGACTGGCATCATCTACATTTAAATTAAAACTAAAACTTTATTTCTGTTCATAACGTTATGCTTTTTGGAAGCTGTTAAAAAACTAATGAGTGAACTAGTAACAATCTGTTTTAAATTAACCATTTTAAAACAAATTCAGATTGATCAAGTAGATACATAGATATAAATAGCATACTTTAGAAATATTTTCAGGTATAATTTACCACATTTTTGATAATGCAAATGTTTTATAAAAAAGGCAGAATGCGCTTTAAAAAAATGAAAGTATGAAATGGAATAATGAAAGCACACAATGTCTAAAAAGAGAAGGTTTGATACACATATTGGCAATAAAAACTTACCCAAAAGATGTATTTCATCAATAACTAGTAAATTGACACTTTTAACATAATTTCTAGTTTGCCAGCTACGACTGACTCCATCCCATTTCTCTGGTGTAGTGACAATTAAATCTGCTTTAGCTACAGCTCTCATATCAGGTGTTACATCACCAGTTAATTCTACTACACTGTAATATACATAATAGTATAAAACTTCAATATGTATAATATTTCAAATTCACTTAAGAATAACATAAACAGTAAAAGTAATGCTTTTGACAAAATGAAGTGACCTTATATCCTATTTGTGTTCCTCATTGCGCTAATGAAAAGGGGAATCATCCATGTGCTATCAAATCATTTTTCAAGGACAGACTACACTTTTTCAACTGTTAAGGGAACTAAATAAATGATTTCTAGAGGATTGTAGTAATTTTGATTCACAGTTATAAAGATATCTATGATTCAGAACATAAACTGAATGAAGAACATAATACTCAAAGAAATTAAAAACATCAAATCAAGTGAAAACAAAACATTATTTTTTACTACTTTATCTTCAATCTTGATGCCTCCACCAATTTTTCACATAGGTATGCAAAAAAAGTTAGATTGAAAAGATAATGAAATATTAAAAGATATATCTTCTGTCAGATTCAGCTTCAGTTAGATTTAACATCGATCACAACAACATTTCAGTCCATGATCAATGTCTAGTCTATTTTGTTACTTTGTATATACTTACTTTTTACCAAGTTTCTGTTGAATTCTGACTTTCCAATCCTCCATTCTTTCTCTAACTAAAGCTTTGAGAGGAGCAATATATACAGCCTAAAATATATAAAAGCAGTATTTATTATATTTTAGACTAGTGTGATTTGTTCTCTTCATTTTCTTAATTTCAAATCATAATATTTTTCATATCATTTTATCTAAAAGGGACATTTTTCAAAAATAAAATATTGTTCCTACTAACCTTACAGCCAGGATACTCTCTAAATATTCTAAATATAGCTAACTCAGCTGCTATAGTTTTCCCTGATCCTGTAGGAGCTCCTAACAATACATTACAATCTGTATGATATAATGTATGAAATATCTGGGTCTGTACTGGATTAAAATGAGTAAATCTATATAAAGCTTCTAACTTGGGATCATTTAAAACTGTTACTGGTAGTGGGTGAAGATCAAGTAATTCTGAAATACAAAAATTATGCATAATTTAGTCTTTAGAATTACAAGAATAAATGAGAAGTAAGAAGGCTAGAAAAAGTAAGAAAATGGCATCAACAGAGTTTTAAGTAAAATTTTTTTCAATGAGGAAATCTTTTCCAGCTTTAACAGAAATAAAGAATAATGAGTAATAACCCTTTAATCTGAAAATCTTTAAATGATAATGTTTTTAATAATGATTTGACTAGAATAATGAAGAAAGATGTCTCTCACCTGTATGAGGAGGGTGTTTTTCAGGTAATATCAAATGTTGAAATGATATAGCACACATACTTTCTGAACCTAGCCATCTATCTGATACAGCTTTTATATAGTACTGACTTGGTAATGGTTCAAATATAGGTATTGTAAATACTAGAGTCTGCATTTCACCTAGTTTCACCTATCAAATAAAACCAATTGAAATAAAACCCAAAATGGTGTACGTAAAAAAAATCGAAAATTTACGTTTCACTAAACAAATTTGCAAAAAATGATTGTAAGTTTTAAGTGAAACAGGCGTCTGTTCCTCTACTAATTAATACAAGAATTATACCTGTTTTTTCAGTAACATGAAATATTCTGAATGATAAATATGATTATTTTCTGGATCTTCAACCCAAATCTGAAATGGTTCTGAAACTGCCCCATGAACCTGAAATAAAAATCGCAAAAATTGCTGTTATAGTGGTATTTTATATAAAAACATTAAGAGCACAACTCAGTTGACACTTTCAAATATTAGATCTCCTTACTAGTTTGACAGCTTTGAAAGTGTTTCATATCTCAAAGAAGTGATATTCTCCTAACAAGACATGATTATGGATCTTTTAACATGCAATGCAAACTAATACTTTTTTCATATAAGCCCCTGAAACTTACATCTCTGACAATCTGAAGGTATTAACTCCACATTTGCTGAAATAATAATCTGAACTCTAAATTAGAGAGCATACAAACCATCCCAAATCTAATTATTAAAGCATGTAACAGTACCTTATCATCCCAGGTAAAGTCTGGTGTGATATGAAGACGTACTCTAAGTACTGTTCTAGTAATAGGTTGTATGGTAGCATCTAGTATTAAATTAGGTAATTGTTCTACACATCGTTTGACAGCACTACCCATTCTAACATGATGTATCATATGACCTACAACAATAATTAAATAATTAGGTGTCAATGTTCTAAGCAAATTTAACTCTACATTTATGAAAGTGTTACTGAGAAGGTTTTTCCTGAAATAAATATCATACTACCTATCAAATCAAACTTTCTGATATTGTTACAGCCTGTATCAAATATATAGCATTCTCATTTTATATCTGATAGAATACATATACTACTAGCAACAGAAAAATAAACTATAACCAACACAAGTGTTAATAGTTTAATTGCAACGCAAAATTGATGTCTAGTTTTAAATAGTGTAAGTTATATCAAACTATAATCAACTTATCGTAGTTGAGTTGATAATTGGAGAAATGTTTCCTTTTAAGAAGTAAACCAGAACTTACCTATTTCTTTAGCATCCATCTCTCTCAATCTATCAATAGTTAAATTTCTATCATCTAATTTTCTTAGTATATCAGGACTGAGTGATGCAAATTGATGTAATGGACTTTCATATCCCCATAATCTTTTATCTACTACTTTACATAATGATAATAGTCTACTAGCCATCACAGGCCATCCTTGTCTTAATGCCATTTCAAACAGAGCTCTCACAATTCTTGCTGCATTCTGTAATGTAACAATGTTATAGTTTGTTACCATTAGTGCAACATATTAACATATAAACAGAAATAATCATGTCACACAATATGAGTTTTTACAGTTTATCTTGAGCATACATTCAGGTGATTATTTTGAAGTACATTCAACTAAACTGCAGAGAACGTAAAAATTTCAAAGAAAAGATAAAAAAAAACCTTTCTAATTTTTACTATCAAATTTGACGCTCATAGGATATCAATCAGGATTTTTAATCATAAATCAGAAAATCAACAAACATAAATATATAAAACAAAATACCACAAAAAAATAAGGAGCCATTTACAACCACTGAAAGAATTACAAGTATACAAATCCAGTTGAACACTGATATCAGTTATTTTGATAAAGTTTGGGTCCTGTCTACCAGCAGGCAGCTATATTAATAGAAGTAGCAATATTTCAGAAAAACATAAAACACAATAGAATTACCTGAGCAACATAAGCTGAATCTGATATTAGTGAAAAACTCTGTAATGGTGTTCTGGAGATGTAGGCTTGTAGTAATATATTCACTTTACCATAGGTATTCTCTTTACCACCTGGTACCGACATTACACATTCATTCTTCATTAACATGTCTAGTTCTACCATCTCATCTTCTCGTACCTAATTCATTTTAACAAGTATTGTATCATACTATTGTGATACTATATCATATCAATGTGATAAAAACAAATCTGGACCAGATCAGTTTCATTGAACTCCCAAAAGACTTTGCATAGGCCTAATATCTTTCAAAACACCTTTTTCATATTTTGTCCTGCATCCTTCTCTTGAATGTGCATATAATAACATTGATTCACCTCATTCCAACCTTGGAATTTCTTTACAAATCTAACTAATACCTCCCACATACCTTAATTTGGTCGAACTCCTGAGCTCTAGAAACAACTGATAATATATCAGACTCTGTCATAAGAGATACGAATGATTCATTTATAACCTGTTTTAAAAAAATATAAACTTATTTATATATTATATACAAATTTAGGGAAATATGGTAAGCTAAGAATTTAGTTCTTGTACGATATGGAGAAATTTTTGGCACTGATTGCGAAAACGACCATTTTAAAATCAAATAGCCAGAGTACCCCAGATTATAATATTTCTTGTAACAAACTTGAGAGCAATTATCTATCAGAAGATCACAAAATACCTTTTTCAAGATACAAAATGCTATCATGCAGAATAAATTCCCCACTTTCCACTTCTTCAATACTTAACTTTTCCTGGTTTCACATAGAATAAACTATGGAGTATGATGGGGGTCATAGGGCCCCTTATATCATAAGAAACTGTAGTTACCTTCACTGATAGCGAAGAAAGAGGTGAATGAGCATTTAAAGATATGTTAATAAAATTTGTTATATTTTATCAAATTACATCTTAACACTATCACATGATAAAAGACATACATGTAGTCTAAATTTTATAACTAACTTACCTCCACAGTGTCATATTTAATATAGAAATGACTAGATATTCTTCCTAAATCAGTGGAGGCAAAATATCCCGTAGCTTCATTAAATCGGATCATTCTAGCTTTATCTAATCTTCTACCAGCTCCTATTATTAAATCATGTCTATGTTTCTCTAACATTGGATCAGTCTACAACAATCAGTTATATTCAATCAGTTTACAACAATCAGTAATATGTAATCAGTTAACAACAATCAGTTATATTATGTAATCAGTCTTTAATAATTAACAATATGTAATCAGTTTACAACAATCAATAATATGTAATCAGTTTACAACAATCAGTAATCATTCAATTCAAATCTTTATTAACCTTGAGTCACAGACTCATCGGTATAACTTATTTACAAAATACATAATAAATAATAAATATAAATACATTTAGGAGAGTAATGTGAAAAATAATTAAATAAATCATACAGATTACATATCACCGTTTTTTACTCGCATACATTAGATATCTTCCAAGATTTCTTAGATCTTTTACATTCGTAGTGCTCATTAATTTAAAAAATTTGTACATATTTGGTCGTGTGGTATAATATGGTTTAATATGTTGCTGGTGTAGTTCTTTAAAAGCTGTGCATATTAAAATATGATGGTATTCATCTTCAATTTCGTGCATATTACATACTTTACATATTCTTTCATTTCTTGGAATTTTAGTGTATCGACCGGTTTCTATTAATGAATTGTGCGATGCTAAACGTAGTCTACTTATATATTTCAATAAAGCCGAATTTACAAGTTTTAAAAGATAACTTTGGAGTGAAAAATTGGTAACAAAAAATTGATAATATATTCCCTTCGATGAATGACAAATATTGCTAAAACAAGATTGTGTAAAATTATCATAGAGGCGTTGCCTAACAATACTTACAGAATTAATAATGGGATTATTCCATAGATAACTCAAACCTAGGTGATCAAGCTCATTTCTTAAATTACAAATCCACACATCATTATTGATGATCATATCTTGCAAGCAACATTTTAACAGTTCATTATCAGATTTCAACAATTTAACATAATACTTAAAAATTCCAACTTTTCTGATAGTATAAAGAGAATATCTACCTACTTCATATAATAACATATCATGGTTTGTAGATCGTTTAACATTAAGAATCATTTTAAGAAAATAAAAGTGTAGTTTCTCTATGTCAGGTCCCTTATGAAACCCCCATATTTCGGCCCCGTAGTTTAAAATGCTACCTACATTACAATCAAAAACATTAATACAGGTTTTGATATTAAAACAATTTTCTCTACATGTCTTTAAAACAGGAAATAAGGCTTTTCTTCCTTGATTTGCTAGATTTGCTTGTGCTAATGTAAATTTGCCATTAAAATTCAAAACAAGTCCAAGATAATTGAAATTATTTACAACCTCCAATCTATGAGCATTAAAATGCCAATTTTCAATTGCTGAAATTTTGTCATCATTGCGGAATATCATTACTTTTGTTTTAGACGTGTTCACTGTGAGATCCCACTTTTTGGTATAACTCTCCAAAGAGTTTAACAGATCTTGGAGACCCACAGCTGATTCTGAAAACAATACCTTATCGTCTGCATACATCAATAAAAATAAGTTAAAATATGATAAGGTTAATGCAGTACAATTTGAATAGTTGAAATGATATTCTATGTCATTTACATAAAGGGAGAATAGCAGCGGAGATAGTATTTCTCCTTGAAATAAACCAGTGGAGCACGAAAATAATTCTGACAAACAACCATTTAATTTTACACAACACTTAACTTTACTGTATAATGAACAGATAAGTGTAAGGATTTTTCCATTGATTCCACACTTAAGAAGTTTATACCACATGAATGATCTATTAATTAAATCACATGTAACTCGGTAATATGTAATCAGTTTACAACAATCAGCAATATGTAATCAGCCTACAACAATCAGTAATAATATGTAATCAGTCTCAAAAATTTGAATGACGTGAATGATATTTCAAACAAAATTTAAGAAGTATTAGTCTTAGAAGTCCTGATCATTCTAGGAGATCTTAAAGGGATTGTTTAAATGTTTTTCTAAATCTTTAATGTGTATTGGGGACATTGATAGCATCAATTTGCACCATTCCAATTTTTGATCAGACTTCTGTGGTCCCCTGTCCCCATGTCAGACATCATACATGAGTGTTAGTATTAATTCTAGTAATAAAACTTACCTCTATTTTGTTGTAATTGATACCGTAAGCTAATGGATTAATTCTCATTCTAACAAATAAATAAGTATAACTTATCCATTTTACAGCTTCTTCTACATTGGTTACAGTACCTAATGCAACCTATATGTATAACAAAAAATATCTATGTAAACAGGGTTTTACATGTACAATGATCTTCAACATGACAAATGGTAACAACTCATAAGTAACCTTTATCTACTTCAACTCTGTCTGTTTGACTGTTCACTTCCTTATAACAGTGGCAGTGAAATAGCTCAGCTGGTAATTAGCTAGATTGTTGTCTGCTAGACTATTAGGTGCTATGGGTTTCAATCCTCCACAAGGTAACAATTTGGTTGCCATGGCCAGTGCTCCTGAAAGTCAGGCTCGTGTCGGCTTTAAACCCCTAACACCTAATAGCATATTGAGATTCAAGTGCTATTTACAAGTAATCAGCATGTCATTCGATCAAATTTCAATATCTGTCATAGACTAAATCTACAGGAGATCATCTATGAATGTAGCATCTGCAGAAAAACAGACATATCTGAAGCCCTAATCAGACAAATAATTATTCAAGATTTATAGCTTAAGATATATAGCTTACCTCAGCATTAAGATTATCTGTTAAACTATTGATAAATTGACTCTCTATAGGATTCTGTCTAGTCATTAATGATAAATAATGAGACAATTTATCATGGGTTGTTAATATAGTACCATGACCAAATTTATCATATTGTGGTCGACCAGCACGACCAAATATCTGCATAACATCTAAAATACCTAAATCTACAAAACTCCCTCTTTTAGCATCATAGATCTGGGTTCCCTGTAAATACAGATGATCAATAATAATGATTTGTTTAAAATAATTTCTTTAACAAAATCACTTTCTCCAACAAGTCAATCTTCAGTGGCAATTTAAAGAAAAAAGCACCATCTTTTTTCCTGACTAGCAATGTGACTTGATCGCAGAACAATGACATAAGAAGGAAAGACAAACAAACCTTTATCACAACAGAATGAGCTGGTAAATTAACACCCCATGCTAATGTTGCTGTACAACAGATAACTTTTAACATTCCATCAGCAAAATATTTCTCTACTAAATTTCTATCTTGTCTCAACATACCAGCATGATGTATACCAAATCCTTCAGGCATCAATTCTTTTAACTGTCTGTTACGTGAATGAGAAGCCTAGAAATATTATAAATATCATTCTGATGGGTTTACTGTTGGCACATGTTTTGGACACACAATATTCCTCAGGAGAGCTACTTGTTAACTTTTTAATTTGGATCATAAGAGTATATCAAGCTAAGGATCAACACTTTATAATAAAGAAAAATAGACAATAAAATATTTCACAGTACTATGCTTCACCAGTCAACTCAAACTGACAAGAGCTTATTTCATGTTGTCCATATGTGTTTTTGATATAAGATTAAGATTAAGACTAATGAACTTATTAAAGCGCTCATTACTGCTCTAACGTGAGCATTCAATGGCGCTTTACAAACACAAATATTTCTACATTATAGTCAATGTCTTTACACACACACACACACACACCCTCACATGTGCGCAGTTGTTTTAGGTAAAGGTTCTTCTTAAAAAAAAATTTTTTTTTAACTTTCTCTTAAAAAAATCACCCATCTACAGGTTTTTAACTGCTACATTGAATGACCTATCTGCAAATGTTTTATATTTTGTTGTTGGTATATGAAGATTAAGACCAGGAGAGGATCTTGTACAATACGGATTAATATCTAGAGTTAATAGATCTGATAGATATTTTGGAGTCAAATTATTTAAACATATCCACACAATCAGAAGGAGTATGTACTCGGCCCGGACGTGTATTGGTAGTATGCCTTTGTGGTGTTGGCATATTTTGGTAGACCCTGGATCAATTTAGCAGCCATATCTGGCACTTGTAGTGGTTGAATGGTCATTCAAGGCAGATTGATACAGAGACTATTGCTTTAGTCTAAATGTGAAAATACCAAGGCTTTGACTTGCTTTAAGCATGTTGATCTGTTGCTGAAAGTTCTGATTTTATTGATTTTCATTAATGTTAAGGTAGCTGTACGTGATTTTATCACTATAAGCTTATCAAATTCCAGATGTTGATCAAAGGAATGACCAAAAATGGAGAAAGGGATTGAATTTATTTCTGAGGGGATCCGAGGCATGTAAGCAAAATAAACAAACTCACTGAACAAAAAAAATTACACAAATTGGGATTATTTGGGAATAGGTCTACTTACAGATTTTTGAAAATCACCATATCTAGAAGAATTATTGGGTGTAAATAGTTTGATATCACCTTGATTTCTAGCCATTTCTACTAGCACCATAGCTGTTCTTACTGTTTCATTACGGGCATGTACAAATACCATTACCTATTGACATACAAGTAATAATTAATCAGTACATAAACAGTAACCTATAATAACTTAACAGAAATCCTTTCAATTAATCAAATGTGATTTTTAATATGTGAAGCTTAAAATATTTTCCAAAAATTTACTCGATGATTTATTGCTTCTGTCATCTGATTGGTAAGTGACCTAAATCAATTTTAAATTTTTTATCCAATCAGATAACTGTATTTCATAAAATCTGGCTTAAATCTAATTTAAGTTTTTGAAAATTAGATACAAATTTATGGTGTATTTAAAGTTTGGTAGAGCTCAAAGAAAAAGCAATATTTTCGAGACATTAACAATGAAATATAACACAAAATTTTTAAACACATGTATGTATAAATCAAATTGGATTTGATTACAAATAATTGTTAATTTTACCTGGTGACCTTTTTTAATATCTTCTAGTATTTTTTCATAACAAACTATATTAAAATCTTGTAGTTGTTGAATTTTATTGGTAGTTTTTATACCTTTAAAATGAATTGTATGACCGTAATTTTTTCAAATTTTTTTACAAAAAACAGAAACATAAGAACTAAGTAACAAATGAAAACGATTCTGTCTTTTCTATTCTATACCAACATCTTGATATCCTTTTTCTCATCTCTGAAAATTCCCCAAAAGTACTGGTAGTGTACTCTCATAATATAGACAGTAATGAAACAAATCCTACCTATAAATGTCTGTCCCAATGGAACAGGTCTAAATCTTCCATCAAAGAAAAATAAACCAACATAAGGGTTAACATGAAGAAATCTAGCAACATCTAAATAGTTAGGTAATGTAGCTGATAACCCTACAATACGAATCATACTCTGTGAACTCTCCACCTAGAATAAATGAACAAAATTACTACCACAATATTGATAATTACCTTACAACAGATCATGAAATAGTTTTATTCATACCCATGGTTTAAGTAATAAGTTACATATACTAAATTACAGAACAAAATTACCGGTAAATGTTTACTGTCAATGCAAATTGGGGTTTTGTCAGACCTTCGATACTGCATCACTGACCCCAAAAATCTAAGTTACTGTTGTTTCCAACCATGCTTAAGATTTAATATTGGTCAAGACACAAATACTGGACTTAAAATGACTAGTATTCTCTTCATCTGATAGGTCAATAATGAAAATGGACTTAAGATTTTTAAAAACTCATCAGGTTACAATATTTCCTATTTTCTTGTTATCTAAGTAAAATTTTGCAAAAAATTTCCCTGGTACATTTGTACAAAAAATCTAAAACGAATAATGACAGAACTAAATGATTGAATGACTATACCTGTCGTATAGTTCTAGCTACCAATGTCTCTATAACTGGACCTCTATCATCATGTAATAAATGAACTTCATCAATAATTAGTAATTTTACTAATTGAGCTAAAGCTACATCACCAGTACTCTTTCTAGTTACAACATCCCATTTCTCTGGTGTTGTTACCAACATCTAAAATTTAAATTTCATATTTCAAATAACTAGGTACAATTATCAACATATTAAATATGTTCATTTCAAATTCTAAAATTTTTCTATAACAATAAATTTTCAATTCGTACGACTTTGCATAGTAAACTGAGAAACAGTGACTTTCAAAACTAGGGTTTTGGCTAAATCAAATAGAGATTTAATAAAGAAGATAAATAAGACAATTTTATGGATGGTAACTTCTAGCTCTTAAATAATGCATCAATCAATGTTCTTCTATCCCCAAAATCCACCTCAATAACTTTCAGTTGCTTTTCACATTATAATTATTAGCCTTTTTGTAATTTTAAAGAGTAGAAACCAACCTGTGTTTTAAGGATTTCCTGTTTAGTTAATGACATATCACCAGTTAATTCTTTCACTGTTATACCTAATGGTGATAATCTTCCTCCAAAATTCCTCACCATTTCAGCTGCTAAAGCTTTCATTGGTGCTATGTATACAACCTGTAAAAATATAAATATCATGTAACTCTGAGAATGGACATCATTAATCTTTTTCTAATCTTATCCAAAGTCTTCTATGTTCATTCCAATAAATCCATAATAGGTATTTAATGTTTGAGGTTATGAATATTTAAATAGCTACTCTGAAATGCAAGATATAATAGACAAATGTTTGAATTAATGGCTTTGAATACAATAGTTGTTGAAATTATGACTACTGACATCATCTTTAAAATACTTTGTAACTGTACCTTAAATTCATCTTTTTTGATAATTCCCTGTGATAAATGTTGTTTTATTTCATGTAATATTGTTAACATAGCTACGTTGGTTTTACCAGCACCAGTTGGGGCACAGATTAACAGGTTTTCATTAGTTTTATAAGCTGAGTCAAACACCACTGATTGTATTCGATTTAATGTTTTCATTCCTTTAAAAGCTAACTGACCAATCTAGATAAATATACAAAGAATATGAGAGATTTCATGAGTACACTTATTCAGTAAAATATCATTGAGGTAAACTGTCTTTTGCCTTTCTCCATCGTACTGTTGACATAAAAAATTTTATATTGTAAAATTATTTTGGGATAAGTATTTACAGTAAATTCAACATCTATACGATATCTGGACAATCAAATGTTTAGTCTTGATTTATTTCCTTAATCTGTCAGTAAAAAAAACCAAGAGCACTACCATAATTCTGTATATTAACAATTCAGGCCACTTGGATTTCACAAGGTATATTACACTTATTAACAACTGTTTTGAGCAGTAGAATTCAAGTCAAAGATTATCATATATAAAAATGCTGAATATAACCTGAATATGATTCTATGTATTATATACTGACCTCATCTAATGAATCAATAGGTACTAATTTATTACCAATATCAACTGGGGCAGGATCACTGGGTGGCATATTAATCTCTTCATATAATTTACTATCTGTTTTATCAAAACCACCAGGTAAATACAGCTAGTAATAATAAATACATATAGGTAGAGATCATATTAAAAAAAGGAACAAAATTTAAGGTATACTACTCCTGAGTTTTATTGCATTTCAACAATTATCATTGTCATCACCATTTTCACCAAATGGTTACAATGTAAATTGTTGAAACATTGTGTATAATAAAACTTATTACTTTTGTTCATATGATATACACTGTATGCATTATATTCTCATAAAGAATAACTAATCAATGGTGTATATATTGAGACTTGTTTGAATACACCAAAATAAAAACTATCTTTAAGAGATGGTAGGTTATACGTTTTTTTCTAAGAGCTCATCTCATGCTGTCAACATGTTTCTGATACACAATATTCATCAAGACAACTAGTTTGGTCAATGGGGTTGACTTTCCAATTTCAGCATATGGCCAAAGCTAGCAAAATCACTATATTGAAAGATTGCAGATACGTTATGATAGAGAAAAATATTTCTTAAAATAAATACCTTAGCTCCTCCAACATAAGCTGATGACTGTCTGGCCTCTTCATATGTATCAAAAACAAATGGGTACTTTTCTCTGGGCTGGTAAGATGGCCGGCTTGTTATAAACAATGGAGCTGTGGCAGCAGAACGTAAAGCTGCTTCCCTACAAAATAATTTAAACAAAAATTAAATATATCACTATTTCTCCATTCAAATACGGAACGGAACAAATAAACAAATCATTATCAATGCTCAGGAAATCCTCAAAAATAAAATGTAACAATATTCATCTACCATTTTGAATTTACATTCAACAGCTTTCATAAATTACTGGACTACAGATTTTACAACTTAAACTTGAGATTTCTTACCTTTGTAGCTTTAATTCTTTTGGATCAAACTTCTTCTCACCTGTATGATCATCTGATTTTTTACCTCCTCTTTTAGACATTTTCTTTTCTTCTTTTCTATATAACTTAGCTAATCTTTTTTCTTCTTCTGACTGAAAAAAAAATGACAAACGTAACTCTTATTAATTGAGTAAAATATAACAAAATCTTGCCCATTTGTGTAAGGGTTGATACAGTTGTTCACATGGGTCTTAAAATTGCTGTTGGGACTTTGACACTGACTAAGAATATTGGCCTGGCAGTACTTCTCTCATTGTACCCTTCACAGAATGTCATTGTCTTCATTTCTATATAGAGATAGATAACAATAATGTTTACATAATAATTATCAAGGTGCTTTACCTGTACTGTAATTTGACAACCATGTAAAGGACGATCATTTTTAGGTTCTAAATATAAAAGAAAAAAGTCTAGCTTTTACTACGATCACATAACATCAGCAGTAAATCAACAGTTAAACCACAAAACAGTGTCCCATCTGACTAAAAAAAACATCTGGCTGTCCTGAGTGTGAATTCTTTTAATAGTGATTTACATTCTAAAGAGAGAACTTAATATTGAGAAACTATGGCATACTTTTTTAATTCCAATAAAATACTAGAGCCACTCGTGGCACAGAATGGGACTTTGCAAATGTAGCAATTTGCTAAAGACCCCGAAAAAATCAACCATCAACGATAATTAGGTCAAGCGCTAGAACAAGTCTAAAGTTGATAAATTTTTTATTTTTTAGAAGATTCTAATACCGGAAGTAGACGTCAGACCTCACAAATGAAAGTATCAGCAGATAGCCAAGGTCAATGACCTTTGATCTTGTAAAGGAGAAGGTCTAAAAAGGTCAAGATCAAGAGATATACGTCATCAAAATTTCTAATTGCATACGACTATAAAACCGGAAGTTGACATAGGACAGCAAATATAAAAGTATAAATAGATAGCCAATGCCAATGACGTTTGATCCTAGAAAGGTCAAGGTCAACAAAGGTCAAGGTCAAAAATTGAAAATTTTGAATTTCCAAACCCTGTTCCTTTTTTTGAACTATGAAGCGGAAACAACCGAACTTCTAAGACAAAGTGACTCAAAACATGAGATAATTGTATGCAATGTTCCATTTTGAACAAACGTATACTTTGCGAGTTGTTCCTGGCCAAAAATGTCAATAATGAGTAATATAACCCAGATGTGCCACGCCCACCTTAATTTTTTTTGCATAGGGTAATTGATATTCCAAATGTTATGTTGTGTTTTAAATTTCAAGCTTCTACATTATTCAGGTCAAAAGATACAGGTCAACAAATGTCAATAAAGGTCAAAATCGAAAAATGAAAATATCCAAATGTTAAAACCCGTTCCTTTTTTGGAACTAAAAACCTGAAACAACTGAGCTGTTAACACAAACTGGCCAAAAGGATGAGGTAATTGTGTGCAAAGTCCCTTTTTGAACAAACGTATCCTATGCGAGTTATGCCCCTGCCGCAAAATGTAAACAATTAGTAATTCAACCCGGATGTGCCACGCCCACCCCAATTTTTTTGTCATAGGTGAATTCATATTCAAAATGTCTAGTTGTATTCCAAATATCAAGGTTCTACATAGAATAGGTCATAAGATATACATACACCAAGATCAAAAAGACACAAATATGATAAAACAAAACTCAAATTTGAAAAAATCACGAATTTCAATTTTGCTTTAAAAAAGCAATTGTTCTATATCTATGTAAAGTGCATGAGAAGCACATTAGAAAACCGAAAAAATTAACCCTCTAGGTTAATTAGGTCACGTGCTAGAGCAGTCCAAAGTTGCGAATTTGGCTTTTTACGGATAGCTATAAAACTGGAAGTACATGTCGGAGGTCAAAGGTCAAAGTATCAAATGACCAATCCCATTCTCCCCCGAAGCCCCATTTTGAGTTTTATGAAAAAGTATCAAATCAAGATGGCGGCCGAAGTATTTTTTTCGGACTAAGTTTTATTTTAAAATCGGCCATAGAATTACGATTAATAACGATATACATAATTTCGTTGAAATATTTCAATCACACCGGAAGTTATTCAACCGGAAGTGAAAATCGATTTTCCACTTTAACCGGAAGTTACGCAAAAATTTTGAATATGTCAAATGGTTTACATTAGTGACATGCATCTTTTATCAAAATTTCAGATTAATCCGAAAAAAACTGAAAAATGGTCCAAAAATTTCGAAAATCGGCCAAAAAATGTATGCTACGAATTTCCGAAATTTGAAATTTTTTAACTCATATCACATCGGAATTTAGTCACAGATTCCAAAAATGAAGACCCGAGCAAAATCGGCCCAAAAATGTGGATTCCAGGGTCAAAAAACCCGTTTTTGCACATGTTGAACTGTGGCATTTCCGGTTTTGCAAAAATGTTCTAAAATACACTTAAGGAACACGTCGCCACTACAGAAGGTCTAGAGAAGTTGAATGGTTACTGCAACTACTGCCGCCTAGGCTCAGGAAGGTGTGTAAATTTTGAGAAAGCAATTTTGCTGAAAGCAAAGTCCCACAAAAACTTACTTGGTACAGTTGCTAAAACAGCTTTTGTTACCTCTGTAACTACTGAGCGGACCAATCTCTTACGATTCTCCAATAACATCTGAATTAACTCAAATCTGTCAAAACCAAGCAAATCGAAGAGCTGGAAGTAAAATAAAATACAAAATATAATGATCCATATAACCCTTTAGATATCATAAAACAGCATTTTGCCTCTAAAATTCAAAGACTTTTCAAGGACTCTGGGCTTTGAAATTCAAGGACTTTTCAATGATATTAGTCTGACAGAATACACATGTACCTAACTTCTGAACTGTGAAATCAATAAAGATAGTTAATATTTGTCAATGGGGTTAATCTGTTCTTTGCCTGAAGATGTGTGTGTATTTGCAAAATATCAGGAAGTTTGGTTCTCTTGTCTCCATAACATGTGTATGTGTAGGCTAGTACTGGTTGTGCTTACACGAATGGTTAATTATAGCCTAGTTCTTAAAACCCATAAAATTTCTGCATTACCAGCAGACACGTAAATTGTCACATCGCTACTTGACCTGCTTTGAAGAGGATTCATCGGTGGTAAACTAGGTTTTGTCACCACCACCAACATTTGAAGACACTGCCATTATCTGTCCTTCCATTGTCATGTTTTTCACTACTCATGTGAGATTTCAGAGCTGCTTGTGCCATTTTTGCCAGGTTTATAGTTTTGTTACAAATTGAACAGTAAGCATGGTTTCGGTTATCTTTAACCTCCATTTACTAAATTCACTCATTTATAACCACGATCGGTTAAAAGTACATCTTTCGGACATAGCGATAAACTTAGATTAGAACAATGGTGGCGATCAAGGTGTACATGTTACCAAGGAGACCATTTCCCAGTGGGCCCAGCTCTGAAATATTCCTTTTTTTCAAACAGGTCATTCTGCCAAATTAGCGAAAAAATCACTAAAATTCTCGTATAATTGGGAATTGATCAAATACAGTGAAAAATAAAAGCATGTTATTAATTTAAGTTGATAGACATCACGAGACGTGACCTTACAAGTTATATATAGTTACATAATAATCAATTGATCAACATGGTGTGTGGAGATAGTAGATATAATTAAGGAATGAATGTGAATCTTGTTATCGTTATGGGGAAATAAAAGCTGGTTTATCATGTGACAAGACAAATAACCTGGCGTTTATTTCCCCATAACGATAACAAGATCCACATTCATTCCTTGTATTTACATTGGTTTATCTTTTCTGATAAAATACGCCAAAATGTTCTATTTTTTAATTGTAAAAATACCTGAAACCGTAGGTAAAATACTTGGCTCAATCGTTGTTTTCGTTTTGTAAATGTATTCATACGCCTTATTGTCACATGACAAACTACAAACGACAAAGTTATTGGAAAATAAACGCCGGTTTGGCTAACTGGTTTATTGAAGGGAGTGATAGTAGAAATGTAAATATTAGATGACAACCAGGACTACATGACCCATGGCTGTTGCTTTATACCCCCTACTATGTAATCTGTATTGAATACTTCCAAGTCAACGTTTATTATTTTCAGTAACGGCTGTCCTGTTGAAAAATCTTACTCAGACAAAAATGTTCGCTTATTAAATTGTTAAAAATATACACAATTTGACTCAACTCAAAATTCAAGGACTTTTCAAGAGAAAATGGGCTTTTTACGGTGTTTTCAAGACTTTTTTTGAAATCAAGGTTTTGCAAGGCAACAGACGGAATTCAAGGGTTTTTCAAAGCTGTGCAACAGAACAGAACCCTGTAAAATTTTAATTAAAATACTACAAACAATAATTGAATTTAGTAACTCGTTAAAGCATATTACCTCATTTTGTAGTTCAATGTCTGTTCTAGTAGAAGATAAAACATCAAATACTGTCTGTGTTAACTGTGATATCGATAAACCTATAGATTCATCATCACTAAAATACTTTCTTATTTCTGTTTCTAACCATTTCATATCTTTTTTAGGTTTACTGACATTTGGTTCCCTTTCTTTATAAGATGTGGCAGCGCAAGCTCCATTAGCTGAATAACCAATATCCCACTCTTTGCTTTCTGGTTTGTCATCTTCAGACTCTGAACTGGAGTAACCCTGCTCATACTCTTCATTGATGCCTGTAAATTTGATGCTACTGCCAAATTCAAAATCATCAGCTTCCCCATCACCATCCTGTCTTCCTGTATCCAAACTACCTGTTTCTAATAATTCATCAGGTAACCATCCTGATAATCTTTTTACAATACTACAGGTTTTAGTAGCAGCAGACGCAGGGAATGGGCCAAATGTATTCCTTAGTTTGGTTGTCTCCCTTTGACCAACAACTTCTGATGTTTTAAATAATTCAAAAAGAAAAGCAGCTGCAGCCTCAACTGTTTCTCCATCTGCATCAGTAGAAACTAAAAATATATAACTAATATATATAGTAAAGTGAAGACTGCAAAATAAAATTCATTAAATTGTGTGTTCAGGCAACTAAAGTTAAGGCACCTTAACTATCAACAGTTCTTCAATTTTACTGTTCTTTGGTGAGCGTTCAAAGTTAGATCAGTTTTGACATTGCCTCAGAAATTATCAGGAAGTTCAGAGGCCACAATATCATTATTCACATGCAAACATGACATATCCGTAGTACAACATATCTGGCTTAATGTTAGCTAGTAGCATTTCCATGGCAAAACTATTGCCCCAAATATTGCACAACCATTCTTAAGATATCAGTTTTCATATAATAATTCAATATTTTCATAACATGAAACAGATCAGTCAGACGAGGCTTAAAAAGAATTACACCTTTACAAAATAAATTACCTATTGAACGTGCACAAGACAACAAATCATTCAGTGCAGTAGTTATCACTTTTGTGTCTACTTTTCCATGCTTTTTGGCAGCTTTGGATAATTCACTCCAACTCAATCCTTCACTTTTGTCTGTTTTTGATTGATTCAATCTTCTTATTGACAAGTCATCATTCTTTAACTCTGGATATTCAACTGTTACATCAGAAAATACTCTTATAGCATTAGATAAACGAGGTAAATTCATTTTTCAAACCATCATTCTGGAAAATAGTAAAAATTGGACACTGGTACTATTGCTCTGGCTTTGATGATTAAAAATACTACTAATGAATTTTTAACAATTTCATTTGTCATCCCCAGCCTTAATGGAAGGGATCAGATCAGCTTAGCCATAATAAGCTACAAATAGAAAGCAGGTCTGTCTTGAGTAGTACAAATGGTAGGACGAACCACTTTTAAGTATTGGTATATTACGTGATACACATACCATTATCAATTATTACGGATCTCTCCTATTGCGTCTTAAAATACAGATATGTAGTTTTCTTATTTGTAGCCAATAATAAAATGTTTAAGTATGAAACTGAAAGTAGGACCCCCACCTCACTGAAAGAATAAAAGTGTCAAAGCATGATATTCTAAGTTACAATATATTTTCTAGAAGAAATTGTAAGATACCGTACCTTGTAAAAAGCTAAAAAAAAAGTTAGACGGTTGGAACTTGAAATGACAGAAGGATTTTCAAAATTTATAAAACCCTACTTCCCCTGAAATTGTAAGTTGTAGGTATATTTTCAATTAATAATGCTTTCATGAGCTTGGCATTCCGTAAACCCAAGTAAAGACACTCAAAGCAATTTTGGAGTTGATGTTTCAATTCATTTATAAATGACGATACAGTGATAAGATTAGTTGACAAAACACAGACACCAAGTTCAATTCATCAATAAAAAACAGAAAAAAACGTTTCAGTTCGCTTAGCATATTGTATACGTACCGCTACTCCAAACACGATTATATTCCACTACATTTCTAATCATTCAATTAATCGTAACAATCTGTCATTGAATTCTTATCTATTTTACTGATTTTTTTCTTTCCATCGATGTTGCAACTTTTAGCTGAGTTATCTGCTCTTGAATACATTCTGACAAAGAAGCCTCACAATGTGAAGAGTACAGTTCTCTGTACCTTCATTCGAATCATAGAACTGTATATACTGTCAGTATACAGTTCTATGGTCGAATAAACGAATAGCAAAATGAGACAGCGACCCAAATTTCTGAAGAAGAAAAAATTAAGCTTTACTTTCTTAAAGATTAGAAAGCTCCGCCTGAACCAACCAATTTCAAATTGCAATATCTCAGATATGGAAGATCATAGAGCAATGATTAAAGCTGAGACTGAGATTATTTTCTAATTCATTCACAAAATCATAATTTTTCAAAACTCATTGGTCATAATAACCAATTATTATACAATTTGTCTTTGTTGGGTAGACCTACATAGCTTAAAACAAGACGATTTTACGATTTTCTCTAATTTGGCCACAGACCGTAAGGGGTCCGTTAACACCATTGTACCCCGTGAGATTTTGACAAAATTTCTTTGAGTCTCTCCTCGCCTATAGAAAAACCAGTTATAAGGGCTGATGGTAAAAATGGAGTCAGGGCTACCTCATACTTGGAGTCTAAAAATACGTTAGGCCTATGATGTTCCGATCCACGGCAATCAAGTTTACGCCCATAGAATTGTTCGATACATAAAACGTGGATTGTTAAAAGGCCTATGAAGGATGTCATCGACCTTTAACAATTTACTGAACGGACAGTCGAAATATAACGATGACATCCATCAGGGGTTAGGAAAGCGGTGTGGTCAGAGCATGGTGTTTCCTAGAAGGATAAGGCTAGTCACAGTGACAGTGACTCGAGTGAGGTTATACAGCACCAGGCATATGGTCTGTCCGAACAGTGGCGTTTGTACGGGGTGGGGTGGGGCTGGGAGCTTGGCTCGGGCTGGTCCCCCCTCAACTAACGCTTCCTAGAAACGCCACTGTGTCCGAAAAATAATGCGAATAATTTAACTATAGGCTGGCCTATAATTATGGGCTTATACGTCTTATATGTTTAATTGGCGAGTCAAGGTCGTCTTTACATGACGTCACTAATGGTACCGGTATCTCATAAATTAAGTGAAATACAGAGAATAACAGTGTTATTTTTTATCAGAAAGGCTTCGATCAGTTGTACACTTAACCTCGTAGTGCAGCATTTTTCTATTTGTATTAGGATTAGGCACCTAGCCTACCTAGGGCCTACAGGCCTAGTCCCAAATATCAGACCGTGTCGCGCAGCTCGAACACGGCGCCATAATTTGGCATAAATTTAAAATAGGCTAGGCTACACGGTTAGAGTGGTTACCCAACCTCTGCCCTTTGAGTTCCAGCCTCTTTTAATATTTTGCCTCCTCAACCTTATATTACATGTATGTATATATTAATTTTGTATGCAGTCATTGAGGTAGAACTAAAATTGTGGTCTGACTGTTTCAGACTACAGTCGTTATAGTTTGGACAAAATGTTGTAATAATCCCTCAATTCCGTTATTATTCTAAATAAGAGTCCGTTCCTGCTCATGACATCATAAAGTATTCGATATGAGCCTTATCTCCCTCAATAGGCATGTTTTAGGCCTAATTTGTCTTGAGGACTTATCTTGACTATGTCTATTAACGTGGAGTAGGCCTACCAGTAATCTATAAAATGCCTCTGAACCTGAAACTAAAGGCAGCAATGGAAGAAATATCCAGCGTAGACATAGGATAGCACCTATCAAATTATTTCAATATTAATGAGGTGGTATGTAAAGCTTTTAGAACAATGTCTTGTTGACACTTTCTTCATTAAGTATTTCTAGTCTTAAAAGCAAATTGGCAGTCTTTAATAGCCATGGGATATGGTGCTCTTAATAAAGGTCACAATCCCTTAAATTATATTGTCAGTCTTTGTTTTTCAAAAAACCTTTTAACAACCTTACAGCTATTTTTTCTTATAAATAAATGATGTCTCACATTTTCTTTAAGAGCTAAGTAGAGGCTACATGCCAACAATTTTGAGATCTATTCAACTTAGATTTAGATAACTGTATACCTTTAATTAGAAGTAATTATACCAAGATGATTTTCATTGTCTTCCTAAATCTAAAAATACTATTAATCAAAGCTGAGCTGGGTATTTTCCTAAAATGTTTGTCTTTGATGATCTTTAGGTCATTGACCCATATTTCAGTAAAAAATGGTCTTATTTGCTGATTTTATTATTCTTAACAACAAGAGGCAATTTTTGAGTTGAAATATTCAGTATGAAGTATTTTGAAGTTTCAACCTTTTCAGATTTTTCAAAGCAATAAAATGGAAACCTGAACCAGCAAACAGAATGACCTCTAATTTCCTGAATTTTATCCAGATTTTATTGAAGAGATAATGTTAGAATATGGAAATGAGATGTCATGAAAGGGAAGTAAAGTTGGTGCTGTTATTTATGTAGAGTACAGATTATGGTATATTGACACTTGGCCAGAATTTATTTGGAAAATAAGAAAACCTTGGGGTCAAATGATAAACGACATTTATTGATTGATTTAAGCTTTATTAAAAACATGTTTGTGAAGTATTTCTTTAAGGTTAGTTTATCAAGTTAATTAATATTTTTTATTTTCAAAAGAGAAATAATTTAAATATTATAGAGTACGTAAACCTATTAAGTAAATAAAACTATAGAATTTAAATGTATTTCACAATCTATGTTTTTGTAATTATATCATTTATATAATAATATTTATTGATGCTATGTGGAATATAGGCCTACCTATATGATATGGATTTAAATGATTTAAACAGTACAATATGATTATAACAAAACTTATATTATGATGACGTTGTAAAATGACACCAGATGTTTATCATATTATTGGCTTTTTGCTCAGATCTGTCAGAAAGCTCATTTCAATGACCTTGTATCATCTATGATGCTCAATTTAAATGTAAGTTGGATTTTATTCAGAGACAAACTTGAAATTACCTCAGAAACTTTTCCAATTTCCTAGTATAATTTAATTTACATACAAAAATAGTTGGAAGTCAGAAGGGAAAAGATGCTGAAGCTTGCTGAAAATAAGACAAATTCAATGCTAATCTTATTAGACTGAAAGTTTCAATTACCTAGTAAAAAAAACTCAAGAAAGTCTGAAATAAGGCAGTGAAAAACACAACTTAAAATTTCAAAGAATTAATTGTATTTAAGAAATTTTGAATGGTTCCTAGTAGTTAAGAAACAGTTATAAACCAATATAGGAATTAATCTTTTATCTCTTGAATAATTTTTTCCTTGTTTATTACTTAAATTTTCCTTATTTCTCATCAGTAATTTTGCAGTGTGATTTTATCTGATAAACATAACAGTATTTGTTCAAGTTCTGCCTTTAAAGCATTTAAGAATGAGTCAATAAGGTTTTGATATATGAAATGATAGTTAATAATTACTAAATATATATATAATCACTTTGTAAGTGATGTATTAATATTTAATTTCTATAAGTCACTCTTTATAGTAAATTCTTTATTAGCATCCTGTCTGCAACTATCTGGCGGCCATATTGGAAGAATAATGGTTGTCAATGGCAATGGCTCCATGGATCAATAATAATGTTATGGTAGTGGAGGACTATTGAAAGATTCCAAAGCTCACATGGTACTCAATTTGGTTCCAGGTTTTGTTCATACATCTGAAGTCTGTTATTAGATTTTTTTTATTGGTGTTTTTTAGAACTGACTGATGAAATGGTGGTCAAGAGGAGAAATATTATAAAGGTATGTTTGCCTTTCTTATTTAATTTGATGCCATTGTTTACTTTTTGAAGATGATGACATGAACTAAAGAATTGATTGATGCACCATCTGGTGAATATTATCTTTCCTCAGTGAACAGCTCATTATTTCTTATAAGTCAATTTGTCTAGGATTAGATCATGATATGAAGAGCAATTCCACTTTACCCTGGAGATTTTATCTTTAAAGAACATCTTTTATCCCAAATATCTCGTTTTAACTGGACTAGTTTTCTTCTTTATGTAAGCTCATTAGTTGCATCCAAATTTCCTAGCCAGGTTTCTGAATTTGGCCGTTGATACTTGGTTTGAACCTCTTTGATTATACAGCAAAACTATTAGTCATAGAAATTAAAATTTTTGTAAATGAGGCTAAGATTGGTCATTTGTCAGTTAAAATTTGTTTTTAAGATAAAACTAAGTATTGATATAAAGACATTCCCATTAAATTTTGATTAAGATAACTAACTAAATGTGAGTTGCAACTGAATCAGTAATTGAAGAAGATAAGGTGAAGATTTAATTGCTTCTGATCAGTTTGTGCTCAGATTGGAATTTATCTTCACTTCCCACTTGATCAGTAAGCTTCTTTAGTCCTTTAATAATGTGATAGATGATGATATGTCAGTCAGTAGTAAATGACAATTAACCTATGGAGTTTATATTATTTACAGTGTGTCAGCAAGTTTAAATTGTTTCTTCATTTCAAATAAAAATGCTGAAGAACTTGCTTATTTCAATACAATATTTCAAAACCAGAGTCGTATTTCATCTTTCAGGGCTCTGCTTCCAATTATTCATCAGTTGGGTATCTGTAGAGACTTCTAACTTCTAGGGTATATTCTTAGACAAGAGGCTGAGCTCCTTCCTAAATATTAAAAACCTACCAGATGGCTGCAAATTGTGGCTCATGGTTAATTGCAATATTTTATTACTTTTGTTGAAGCCTACAATTGTAGATTCGTACATTTTTTGACCAATCATACCTTTGTATCAGAAATAGGAATTCTTAAGCTAAACCAATCAATAATAGTGTTCAAAGCTCACCGTCAAAATTTGAGCCGTCAAATTTGAGCCTTCAAATTCTTGTGTGTCCAGAATTATTCGAGTTAAAAAATTAAAAAGACCACTCAGCTTTTCTTGAGACACTGCCATATAGAAAAGACATCTATATCAACAGGAAAAGAAATATTTTAAAAGGAATTATGCGATTTTGGTACA